CACACACACACACACACACACACACACACACACACACACACACACACTAAATCTTGAAAAAGTAAATGGACCTGGATGAACAACAACTCATTTAGGGAATACTTTTTTATTTGTTTGCTAAAATAGGGTCTCACTATAACTCAGACTTACTTGGGAGTCCTTATGTAGCTAGGTTGGACCTGAACTAGTGTTCTTATTAATTTACTGTTTCCCAATGCTGGGATTACAGGTGTTTGCCATCACATCTGGATCAGTGAAAATTTTTGGGCATCTTGAAGACAGCGTGTCTAGGCTTATCTCTCATTCTATTTTTCTCCAGTTAATTTTGTGATATTGGAAAAGTGATTCAATCTCCTGATGCCTCAATTCCATCAATTATAAGATGAAGACAAAAATAGTAGGATATCATCATAATGATCATTATCACCACCATCATCCTCATCACCATTACCACCATCATTAGCAGCAGCAGCTTCTTATAGGGTGGTTGTCAGAATTAGACAATACCAGGCAATTCTAGCATAAACAATTGCCATTTTTCTGAAACGCCATGGTCAGTACATTCTCTTGTCAACACTAGGCATTTTTTCATCTACAAGAGTGTATCACCATACTCAACCTTGATACTGGCATTTCAGACTTCAGAGGGTTGCGTGAATGGGATGTCTTAAATCCTAGAATATACTGTATGGCTCCTGACTCCTAACCTCAGGATTCTTCCTGAAATGAAACATTTATTTTGGCCTCAGCTGAATTTGCTAACTTGACTAACATCCCCAGACCTGGTCCTGTCTTACTGCCACCTTTCTGTTGGATGTGGCAACAATTAATTCAGTTCCTACTATGTCCCATGCACTACCTCATGAGAGGCTAAGTGACTTGTCTAGGAAACACAGCCAGTAGGTGGGAGTTTACTCTTGCAGTTTGGCCTCAGAGTTAATGTATGAAACTATTGTGCTTTTTATTGTTTGACACAGACCGATGAATCAGTTATCATAAGTGCAGGAACAATGGCCATCCTTACTTATTACCTACCAACTACCATGTGTTGGGTGAATTCAGCAGATCCTCTCAACAATCCTGAATTATTCCTGGCTCCATCCCTGCTCTAATTGCTTATTCAGGTTTTTTTTTTTCTATATTATTTTCAGTATATGCACTGTGTTTTTGTTCACTATTTGACATCAAAATCCATGTGCTTTCACTCTCTATGACAGTACATCGTTTGTGAACAAATCAAAGGATGGACGTGGCTGAGCTTTTTAATATCTAAGACTATGGACGTTCCAAGTTACTTGTTGGGGTGTGTAGGATTTGAAACTTCTCCCACAGGCTCATTTGAACACTTGTTTACCTGTTGGTGACACTGTTTGGGGAGGTTACGGAATCCTTTAAGCCTTGCTAGAGGAAGTATGTCAACCAGACTATGACATCTGTTCTATTGTGGGATTCCCGATCAGGAACCATAAGCCAATACAAACAGTTTCTTCTCTAAGTTGCTTTTGGCTATGGTATTTTATCACAGGAACAGAAAAATAGCTAAGACAGGGTGTCTACTCCTAAGCACGATTTGGGCTTAATGCATTTGAAGAATGAACTTAATTATGAGATTCTGAAGCTTAAATTTAACTCAAGATGGTCATTTTATCTAGGCAACCAAACCCCCCATGAAAATGCCCATTTTTTTTTCTAGCGTCACATGCAGTCTTTCCAGTTCTTTTCAAAGTCCTATGATGTGAGAAAAAGAATATCGTTAAGCCAGTGGGCTTGATAAATTAAGATCCAGGTTCAAACCTCTGTACTACAAAATCAACCAAACAAATGAACAATAAAAAATTTCAAAGCTAAAATTAGAATAATGGAGAAATTATAGAAAACAACGTACAGAGGCTACAATACAAGAGAATTCTGTTTTTTGTGCCTTTCTCAGGGTACCCTGAGAGATTGCGTTCCTACCTTAACATCTCTATGGCTGTTCTCTGGCAAAGAGAGGCGGAATCTGAAAGGAAACAGGAAGAGGATAAAGGAAGGTAGATGTATGAGGG